ATATGGTGTGCATATTGTTGATTCAATTATGTTCATCAATCAGTGAACAAATACTTTGTCGGTTATTACATTATTAGCACAGGTTATATACAAGTATCTGCATGTTTTGTTCACTATAACGAACCACTAAGTAGCTATTATGAGTCAAAAAGTAACGAGGAGTGACCGCCGTTTACCAGCCAGCCACTCGCGCCCTCCCTCCAGTCATCTGACTCACCCACATTCTCCTCCCACAATAATGTTTTTGCTATAATTCACTATATACAGATGTTATATATAAGTATCTACATGTTTTGTTCACAATAACTGTACATCTAAGCTTGTGTGGTGAGTAAAGGCACAAAGCTGTGGCTACTCACACAGTCAGCTGATCGGCGGCCGCCCTCAAGGCCAGACGCACTAATATTTCTCCTCCAACAATACTGTGTGGTGTTATTACGCTATATATCTTATATACAGATGTTATATATAAGTATCTACATGTTTTGTTCACCATAACTGTACATCTAAGCTTGTATGGTGAGTAAAGGCCCAAAGATGTGGCTACTCACACAGTCAGCTGATCGGCGGCCGCCCTCAAGGCCAGACGCACTAATATTTCTCCTCCAACAATACTGTGTGGTGTTATTACGCTATATGCACACATTATATATAAATATCTACCTGTTTTATTCACCATACTTGTACAAATAAACTGGTATGGTGCCCAAAGACCATCGTGGTAACCAGTAAACAACACCGTCGTCTGCACGGTGGCGTCGTGCAGGCGACGCCACCGCACCAAAATGGCCTCACCAAAATGGCGGCTCCAAACCTTCTCTTGCTGTTTATACCCTCTATACACACGTTATATATAAGTTTGTGTTCACCATAGCGAACCACTAAGCTGGTATGCTGAGTGCAGTCAATAAAAGGTGGCCACACACAGTCAAAAGACAACGCCACCACCCTCCCTACCACAGCATTACTCCTCCTTCCATGGCGCACAGCGCTAAATATCACCACAATCCTGCTATTATCAGAACCCTGGTCAGTTTTATCACAGTCAGGGTCTTCTGTAATAATATCATCGCTACATAATAGCACGAACAAGTATAATTTGGCATTTTTAGGCGATGCTGTGGTCACAAGCTGAACAGCAGTGCTATTAGCTCATGCTGCGTGCGTCAGGCTTGGTTGCTCACTCAATACTGAGGCCAATAACACCCGTGAGTTTGGGCCACGATTTTTTTTTTAAATGGCGTCTGTTTACAAGAGCCCTGATGAAGGTGTGATGAACCCCGTGTATCCGCGGGCTGTTTAAATCTTGCGTAGTACTCCAACACATCATATGATGTGATGCGCAGTTGACTGGAACAACATCCAGCACGTCATATGACGTGATGCGCACTTTAAGGGTTAATGTGTGTCCCCTGAGCACGGAAAAAATAAAAAAAAAATCGTAGGTGACATAGTTTGGGCGCAATTGACCGAGGAAGTCTGGCAAAAAGTGGGCGTTGACAGAGCGGTCGTCAGACCCAGTCAGCGTCACCCGCGCTGACAGATGGGAGTTGCCACAAAGATATTATTACCTAATTGTTTCAATGTCTCCGATTGATTTTTTCTTAGTTTTTTTGCAGTAATATTATTCAATAGTGTGTATTGTAATATAATAAAAGTGGTGAATAATCGCTATACTCAAAAGTATGATGTGCATATTAGTGATTCAATTATTATGTTGTAAAACAATAAACATGTAGTTTTGCTGCTATTACACTATACACAGGTTATATATAAGTATCTGCATGTTTTGGTCACCATAACGAACCACTAAGTTGGTACTGAGAGTCGAAAAGCAACGAAGAGTTACCGCCACACACCAGCCAGCCACTCGCTGCCACTCCCTCAACACATGCACTAAACTTTCTCCCCCAACAATACCATTTGTGGTGTTATTACACTATATACAGACGTTATATATAAGTATGTATATATTTTGTTCACCACAACTGTACAGCTAAGCTGATATAGTTAGTTCAGGCACTAAGAGTCGTCGCTATACACAGATGGCGGCTCCCTCACTCTTTCAAGGTCACACGCACTAAACTTTCTACCCCAACAATACTGATTGCAGTGTTATTACCCTATATACACATATTATATATAAATATCTACATGTTTTATGCACCGTAACTGTACACCTAAGCTTGTAGTGCGCCCAAAGAGCATAGTGGCCACCCTCTAAATAGCTAGACAAATCGTACAGACGACGTCACCTCCGTCACCCATATGGCTCCTCCCAGTATAATCCTTTTGCTGTTATTACACTAATACACACATTATATATAAGTATCTACATTTGTGTTCACCATAGAGAACCACTGACCTGGTATGGTGAATGCAAACAATAACAGCTAGCCACACAGTCAGTAAACGATGCTGTCTCCCTCCATCTCTCAGCATCACTCCTCCCACAGCGCTAATTATTACAACAATCCTGCTATTATCACAACCCTGGTTATTTATATCACAGTCATGGGTCATCTGTAATATTGTCATCGCTAAATAATAACAATTATATATTTATTTTGACATTTTTCGGCGATGCTGTGGTCACAAGGTGAACAGCAATGCTGTTCGCTCATGCTGCGTGCGCCGGCCTTGGTTGCTCCAACAGTACTGTGCCTCTCACACCTGAGAATATTGCCCACGATTTTTTTTTTAAAATGGCATCTGTTTACAAAAGCCCTGAGGAAGCTACTGTGAACCCCGTGTAGCCGCGGGCCATTTGAATCAGGCCTGGCACCCTATGGCGTATATATACGCCATGCGCACCATGGGACATGTTACTCAGGGCGTATATATACGCCATGCGCAGTTTAAGGGTTAAAGCATCATATGATGCGATGCGCAATTTTAGGGTTAACACTTTTGCACCCTGGGCGTGTGCGCCACAATCTTTGATGTCATGCCCCCGGCGGTGCGGGCATGCGTGCGGGCGAGCACCCGGCAACACCGAAATGTGTATACTCGTTTCAGTTTTCTCACCTTGCTACGTCGTTCATTTTGGTATCTTTGTGTTCGCAATAGAATTCCCTACAGGTGTATATGCATATAATGTCCAAAAGCCCAGCGTGACTCCCCGCAGCAAAGTCTAAAGTTACCCGTGAACGAGAACCAATTTGCACACCACAGCCTAATGTAATTACATTGTATACTCGTTCAGTTTGATAACATCAATTTTCATGTTACGTCTTTCATTTTGGTATCAAATTGTTCGCAATATAAAGGCGCATATTTTAAAACTAGTCCTATAATAACAGAGCAATAACTGGAATTTTAACAAATATTTTAATTTTGGACGCTCATCATCACAAAATTATTTATATCTTTCCAGTGTTCTGACATAAATTTTCCTGTTACATTTTTCATTTTGGTATCAAATTGTTTACAATTTAAAGGCGCGTATTTTAAAACTAGTCCCATAATAATAGCACAATAAATATAATTTTAACAAATATTTTAACACTTTCTTGGAGTTTCCACTTGGAATGACGGGCGGTTTAGATAAGCGCTTGTCGGATCACGACGTAAATTTACAGACGGTGTTATATTGGGTATTTACTACTCGATCGACTTGGGGTTTGTATGAATATGTTTGCCATTAAATTTTCGTTTTCTCTAATAGGCACAGTGCCTATTTGAGAAAACAGCAATGTATTGTAACTTAGAGGAGAGACTATTGAGTTGGTGACACAACAAGGGTAATCGCGCACTCCACACACTCTTGTGTTGGCTGCGATCATGATTCTACATTTATATGCATATGTCTGTGTAGAGAATTTTATTCCGAACACTATACAAACAAAAAAACGGTGTGAAACAAGTATAAACTTGAAAAAACATGAGCAAAGTAAAAACTTTTTACGCTCACGGGTACAAACACGCGTAAGATTTTATTCGCCGCAAATTTATTTGACGCTCTGTTGGCCAATTCTACCCATGTTCTTATAGAACTTTCTATTGTTATATATAAAACTTTCTATTGCGAACACATTGCTATAAAAATGAAGTACGTAGCTCGAGAAATAATGTCAGGACAGTGAAATAAGTATAAACTTTCAAAGCGCTGCATCACAACAGTGTTGTCTCTGCTGAAATCACCTCTAACGCTTCGCCCAGTTCCCACACTCGTGCGGAACATAATTAGACATTAATAGGCATATGTCTGGGTGGGGAATTTTATTGCGAGTTCAGTGATATCAAAATAAGCGCTGTAGGATGACTGTGAGGCTGGCAACAAACGAAAGAGTATGAACATTTACTTCCTGTTTGGGTGTCACGGCGAGTCATCTTCGTGTTTATTTACTTCGTGGTGGGATAGCAAATGCTTTGGTGACATTTTATGCATATGATCTTGTAGAGAATTTTATTGCCAACGCATTGATACCAAAATGAAAAACGTAGCTCGAGAATTGATGTTAGGAGAGTGAAAAGATTATACACTTTTTTGTGTTTACGCTTGAGCGCGCAGAACGCCGCGCGCACAAGGCGCTTTTTTTTTCACGAGTGCCGCGCGCACTAAAGTGTTATTATTTTGACCAAAAACATTTATAATCTTTCAAGTGTTTTGACATTAAGTTTCATGTTACATCTTTCATTTTGGTATCGAATTGTGCGCAATTTAAAGGTGCTCATTTTAAAACTACTCCCAGATTGATCGGATAAAATTAAAATTGTTAAAAAATATTTTAAATTGAGGACGCCGCTCGCGTTACTGGCTCGGACTCGAGAAAAAAATTGATGACGCCTTTGGCGTTAGGAGAGTGCAGAAGTGTTAATCCCCAGAACCTTCAACAGGTAGACAACCTTCAACAGGTAGGCACTCCTCAGGCTAATCATATTTATTGAACTTTTCTGTCCTGTTCAATTTTACTTGTGTCCATCCAAGATTTTTTTACCAATAGTATGTTGTCTACTTCAATTTACCATTTTCATTAAAAGTTCTGAAAATTCCTTACCTTTAAAGTAGAACATTGGCCAAGTCTGATAGGTTCACTTAATCCCAGCTGTAACTGGGCAATATGGAATGATGACGCAAGACAAAATACTTCCAATAGTCCATCACTAAAGTCTTGCTTGGGTGCATCAGCTCCTCCTGTAAGTTCCAACAAAAAACATATTGATCAAGCCACAAAAGTGCATATTACCAAATATGAAAATTAAACAAATAATTTTAAAACACACAGATGTGACAAATGGTGGTCATTATTATATTTTAAATTATATCTTTTTTTTTTTTTGTCAATTACCCCTACCCTTACTCTGTTCTGCTCCATTTCATGGTTATGAATGCGGTTATTGTGATGAATGTAACTAGGGAAATGTGGTTATCGTCATTTGACTATTGAAACAATTATTGTCTGGGTTTTACATACATGATGCAAATATGGATATAATAGCTCTCTGTCGATGTAAATAAGGAAAAATAAGCGATAAAACAATCGGTGAAACATCAGAGTAAAAAACAGGAAGTGTCGGCAAGGTGGAGCACCAGACGTTGACAAGTGCCATCCACACACAGCCTTGTAGAGCGCCTCCACCCAGTACAACAATAAATATTCACTTATTTTTGTGTCTTTCATACATTTAGCATAAATTAATCATTCTATAATGAAAAATTATTTTTTGGAATTTTTGTACAGTGTGTCCTCACTTGAACGAACTGTATGGGACGAAGCCGATTCGTTCCAGTGCGGAATTCGTTCCATCCATCCGGCCCCAACAACCTTCTTAAAAATTTTTTTTTTTTTTTTACATATGCCAGGACACATTAGCATTAGGAAACATTGCACCTGACTCATGAAGGGAGTCCTTGCTAGTGCTGGTCCTGTAGGCCTACTGTGAAACCGTACCAAAAACTTTTGAATTTTAGTTTGTTTCTTCGTTGTGCACTGCTTCATTATAATATCTTTCATGCCCTTTAGGTGTCGATAATAATCTGAGATGGGGGAATCACCATCCACACCATCCCCCACACCACCCGCACCATCCCCCACACCACCCACACCATCCCCCACACCCCCTGCACCACCCACACCATCCCCCACACCATCCTCCACACCACCTGCACCATCCCCCACACCACCCGCACCATCTCTCACACCACCTGCACCACCCACACCATCCCCCACACCCCCCTCACCACCCACACCATCCCCCACACGTTATGCTGCGGTGTGATAAATGGTGCTCGTTCACGGGTAACTTTAGGCTTTGCTAAGGGAGTCACGCTGGGCTTTTGGACACTATATGCATATACACCTGCAGGGAATTTAACTGCGAACACATTGATACAAAAACGAACGACGTAGCACGAGAATTAAGGTGAGAAAACTGAAACGAGTATACATATTTTACTGATTTTGTGTGCTCAGGGGTAACTTTTCCCGAATTTAGGCTTAGCTGTGGAGAGTCAAGCTTCGCTTTTGGACCTTATATGCATATACACCTGTAGGGAATACTATTGTCAACACAATGATACCAAAACGAGTGACATAGCACGAGAATTAAGGTGAGAAAATTGAAACGAGTACACACATTTAGTGTCGTCGAGCGCTCGCCCGCACCATCAGGCCTACTACGAGCATACGCAGAGTGCTCGCCCAGGGTGCAATACTGTTAATACAATGGGGCCTCGACTTACGATGCTAATCCGTTCCCAGAGACGGATCGTAGCTCGTAATATCGTAAGTCGAAGCGATTTTTCCCATAAGAAATAAAGGGAATTGAATTAATCCGTTCCCCACCCTCCAAAATATTAACATACAATTACATTTTATACTGAATACAATGTTTTATTCTAACTACAATACAGTACCTAATTTGATCTTACCTTTATGGAGGGCTCTTGATGGCATATGGAAGATGGTGATGAATTGGGAGGAGGCGAGTTGTTACTGTTTGGAAGGGGAGTCCCCTTCCATTATCACATCAGGCAGTGATGTTTTCTCTGGGGTACTCTCTCTCCTACGTTTTGCCTGAATACCACTAGGACCTGGTTGTGGTTCAGTGCTTGTATGTCTCACTACAAATTTGTCAAGAGACATTTGTTTTTTCCTTCGTTTTAACATTTGTCTGTAATGATTGATGCATCACAGTGTCATTGAATAGGTTAAGGCAATGGCCTACTGCATCTTGATTTGGGTGATTCGTTTCAGCAAAGGTTTGCAATTCTTTCCATGCTGCACACATTTTCTTAATTGTTGAGGAAGAGATATTCTGTACTCTTGTTTCTGCTCTATGGTCATCCTTACATGGGTTTTCATATGTTGAGTCATACCACTGACTTTCCTGGGATTCATGGCGTGATATATAATAATTACTTTAATGTTCAAAATGCAAAAAATCACCACAAACGCGGAACTTCTTATAGGCGTGATCATCACTAAGCGGACAGCTGTAGTAAACTGAGGCAGGTCGGACCGTGTGACCGGGAACCACGCGCTCGGTCGACCCGAACGTGTACCAACAAATATCGGAAGTCGACGACACCATCGGATGTCGAGTCGCATTTTTCGATGAAATTTACATCGTAACTCGAAATTATCGTAAGTAGGGGCAATCGTAAGTCGAGGTGCCACTGTATACATGTATTGTTTAATTATGAAAATACTACTGGAAAACTATTAGTTAGAAACAGTCCTCGTAATAATAACTGTGTCATTTACAAAATACCTTGTTAAGACTGTAATATGTTCTATGCAGGACAAACATCTGAAAATTTGAAATTTAATAATAGTGATTAAATAGCTTTCATCAGCAACAAAACTAAAACCAGAAAGACTGTTGAAGCCAGTTTGAAGGATACAGTCTATTAATTTAACTTTGATAATATAATCAAAAGATTAACTAACCAGCTCCCATGGTCCAAGGTCTTACTCCAGCACCCCAACTTGCTATATTGAGAACAACCACCGCCTCCATGTTGGGCAGCTCCACTTTCTGCTGGTCCATATACAAATCCAGCTTCTGGTCTAAGTCTTTACATTCATGCTCAAAAACATCTTTGGTCCCAAATGTGAAGTAAATCATCTGTAAATATGTAAAACTGCATGGTTACTTTACATGCTCCATAAAAATACATGAATAATCATTTATATAATATAACATCTGCATTTTAAATATCTACTTAATCCCTTAACTGCGTTGCCTCCAAATATGACACCCCCGCAGTGCGCAGGAAATAAATTCTCTGGAAAAAAATATTTTTTTTTTTAGTGTCAAAAACCCTTCCTCAGTATGGGTATGTAAAAAAAAAATTGAAATTGTACTTACTTTGGCTGCTATGGGGTCCGGAAGTTGGGGCGTGACGTCATCATTCCCCGTGCACCCATGACATACGCTCCCAGGGCCAGTAGGGCTCTCGGGGCGGGGCGCGTCACAGACTGGGAGACGCCGATGCGAAGAGGTCCATGTCTGGGAGTCCGTACGTATGGCTGATCCAACGAAACGAGTCGTTGTCGACTGTCCATTCCATGGACAGGGGAATGAAGCGAGACAGGCCGTCCGCCAGGACGTGTGACACTCCCCGAATATAAACCGCATGGAGAGCCAAACCCCGAGAATCCAGCAGACCAACCACTCGAAGGGACTAACCCTAAAGAGGCAAGGAACGAAGAGAACCCCCGCGGTTTAGGCAATAAACCACCGGAAAACAGTCCAAATAGAGCCGGATGGCTCTATTTGATATTTGCTTGTTTCCTAGGGATCGTAGGGAGTTTCTACCTCTGTTCATTTTTTGTTTTAGTTTCTTACCATGTGGGGTTTGCTTTGTTATACCTACTTTTCTGGGTGCCTAACCTCGGTCGATGGCAGATATGGAAAAATCTCAACCACAAGGGGGTTTTCCAGGGCCATGGCTCCCTGAAACCTCTCTGAAGGGGCCAGGTCCTGGCGCTAGTCCCTGGTAGGTCTGAACTCCAAAGCCAATGTCTTAGTCTAATATAAAGTACATTAGCTCCAGGGAGTCGTAGGGGCTCCCCAGAGAAAAAAGGTGTGGCTGATATTCATGAAAATATGGTATCTTGTGTAGAGAATGAAAAGACTCTTCTCAATCATTAACCACAAAACAACACTACGACTCGGCATTATGGCTCATCATGGAGTAGGGACAGGTCACATACACTGCAATAGATACAATATCCATGTGGGAAGAAAAAGAACTTATCAGCTTATACACACCTACTGCAGTTAACTAAAAATAAAACTTAAACAAATCACCTTGTTTAGCAACCGGTTTCTGCATATATAAAATGGTGACTGGCGGGCACGGTCAAAGTTCAGAGTGACGAGAGCATCCACACCAACACTGAGGTAGTTGTTCATGAAGCATTCCCGGGCAGGTATGCGGATTCCTGTTGAAAAGATACACACTAGTGGAATGCTACAGTTTATGTCATGGGCAAGCACTATAATTTGGGAATTATTCAGTCCAATAGTACATTGCAATAGTATATATAGTACTGGTTTAGCCAAAGCTAAAGATAGATACCCAAAGAGAATTAAAACAGTACCATTCCTTTACAAACTTTTTACAAATAAATTTATGATTTTTTTTTCCAGTCTTTTATGACTTTCTGAAAAACATAAAATATCACCAAAGTAAGGAACAAATGCTCTTAGCAATAATCACCCCACAAAGATTTATGGTCTACACACAATATATGTGTAGACAATATGTACAATATATGTACAATAATGCACAACATATGTACAATATGTACAATAATGTACAACATATGTACAATATGTACAATAATGTACAACATATGTACAATATGTACAATAATGCACAACATATGTACAATATGTACAATAATGTACAATATATGTACATATATATATATATACATATATATATATATATATATATATATATATATATATATATATATATATATATATATATATATATATATATATATATATATATATATATGTATATATATATATATGTCGTACCTAGTAGCCAGAACTCACTTCTCAGCCTACTATTCAAGGCCCGATTTGCCTAATAAGCCAAGTTTTCCTGAATTAATATATTTACTATAATTTTTTTCTTATGAAATGATAAAGCAACCCTTTTCTCTATGTATGAGGTCAATTTTTTTTTATTGGAGTTAAAATTAACGTAGATATATGACCGAACCTAACCAACCCTACCTAACCTAACCTAATCTATATTTATATGTAAGGTTAGGTTAGGTAGCCAAAAAAAGCTAGGTTAGGTTAGGTTAGGTAGGTTAGGTAGACAAAAAAACATTAATTCATGAAAACTTGGCTTATTAGGCAAATCGGGCCTTGAATAGTAGGCTGAGAAGTGCGTTCTGGCTATTAGGTACGACATATATATATATATATATATATATATATATATATATATATATATATATATATATATATATATATATATATATATATATATATATATATGTCGTACCTAGTAGCCAGAACTCACTTCTCAGCCTACTATGCAAGGCCAAATTTGCCTAGTAAGCCAAGTTTTCATGAATTAATTGTATTTCGACTACCTAACCTACCTAACCTAACCTAACCTAACTTTTTCGGCTACCTAACCAAACCTAACCTATAAAGATAGGTTAGGTTAGGTTAGGTAGGGTTGGTTAGGTTCGGTCATATATCTACGTTAATTTTAACTCCAATAAAAAAAAATTGACCTCATACATAATGAAATGGGTAGCTTTATCATTTCATAAGAAAAAAGTTAGAAAAAATATATTAATTCAGGAAAACTTGGCTTATTAGGCAAATCGGGCCTTGAATAGTAGGCCAAAAAGTGAGTTCTGGCTACTAGGTACGACATATATATATATATATATATATATGATTCAGATTCCTTCTGAAGATGTATTTAATATACGAAAGTACTTAAGGAAATTCCTGTTTCATTTTCCTCCGTGGTCTGACATTGTCACATTCTTAATCACGTGTTTATTTTCGTGATATACACACACACACATATATATATATATATATATATATATATATATATATATATATATATATATATATATATAAAATGTCGTACCTAGTAGCCAGAACTCACTTCTCTGCCTACTATGCACGGCCCAATTTGGCTAATAGGCTGAGTGATTTTCTTTATTTTCAATATATTTTTTCCAATTAGTTTCTTTGAAATACTATTATTATATTATGTTAGGAACATAAATTACTGACTTAGTTATAGTAGTTTAGGTTAGGTTAGGTTAGGTTAGGTTAGGTTAGGTTAGGTTAGGTTAGGTTAGGTAGGGTTGGTTAGGTTCGGTCATATATCTCCGTTAATTTTAATTCAAATTGAACAAAATTAACTCATAGTGAAATGGATAGCTTTATCATTTCCTAAGAAAAAATTAGAAAAATATATAACTCAGGAAAACTTGGCTTATTAGGCAAATCAGGCCTGCATAGTAGGCCGAGTACTGCACTCTGTTTGCGAAAGTGAATTTTCTTATATTTCTTCGGCATCTGTGTTTAGCTAGTTTAAATCTATGACCTCTTGTTCTTAAAGTTCCAGGTCTCAGGAAACCTTCCCTATCGATTTTATCAATTCCTGTTACTATTTTGTATGTAGTGATCATATCACCTCTTTTTCTTCTGTCTTCTAGTTTTGGCATATTTAATGCCTCTAACCTCTCCTCGTAGCTCTTGCCTTTCAGTTCTGGGAGCCACTTAGTAGCATGTCTTTGCACCTTTTCCAGTTTGTTAATGTGCTTCTTAAGATATGGGCACCACACCACCGCTGCATATTCTAGCTTTGGCCTAACAAAAGTTGTGAACAATTTCTTTAGTATATCGCCATCCATGTATTTAAAAGCAATTCTGAAGTTAGAAAGCGTGGCATAGGCTCCTCGCACAATATTCTTTATGTGGTCCTCAGGTGATAGTTTTCTATCTAGAACCACCCCTAGATCTCTTTCTTTATCAGAATTCTTTAAAGATTTCTCACATAATATATAGGTTGTGTGGGGTCTATGTTCTCCTATTCCACATTCCATAACATGGCATTTATTAACATTAAATTCCATTTGCCAAGTGGTGCTCCATATACTTATTTTGTCCAGGTCATCTTGAAGGGCATGACAATCATCTAAGTTTCTTATCCTTCCTATTATCTTAGCATCATCAGCAAACATGTTCATATAATTCTGTATACCAACTGGTAGATCATTTATGTAGACAATAAACATCACTGGTGCAAGAACTGAACCCTGTGGTACTCCACTTGTGACATTTCTCCAGTCCGATACATTGCCTCTGATCACTGCCCTCATTTTTCTATCAGTCAGAAAATTTTTCATCCATGTTAGAAGCTTACCTGTCACCCCTCCAATATTTTCCAGTTTCCAGAACAACCTCTTACGTGGAACTTATGTGGATGTGTGTGTAATGAGGGGTTACTCACGTTCTTTCATCAAATTCCTGTTAATATAGGAGAACTCTGTGTCTATGCTTAATGCACAACTTGCCTAAACACGCAAGAGAAGTTATTCAACTTGAATTAGGTGCCCTGTACGCCAGATGCATAGTGCTCCTGGCAGTATGGGTTCGAGTCACTTCTGGGGTGTGAGTTTTCAGTTGCATGTATGCTTGAGGACCATTCAGCCTTGTTCGCATTTGTATTCTTCACGTGTGCCCCAAAGAATGAGGTGATTTGATAAAATACTATGCCCAAGATTACCATCAGAGTAATCTGATGGTAACTCCCGGAGCTAACTCTCCACAGAGGAAAGTAGAGGGACCTACCCGAGAGGCGGTCGCTGCTCACTCCGCAACTCAAAGTCGAGACAAACGGCTGCAACTGCCGATCCAAAGCGACACAGGCCCGACTAGGCCCAGGACCGCGCACGAGATAATGAGCAGCCAGGACCCTGCTCGACCGCCCGAAACCCCGCGCCTGAATGACAGCCCAGGACATGTTGCCAAAAACAGCGGCAAGAGCCGCGAACTTGTGAACATGGACATGGGAAGAGATCGCAGGCCAGCTAGCTATAATAATCCTGCGGACAACCCAGGAGACCCGCACCCGCAAACAGGGAAGGAGGGAAACCGAATCAACCCGAAGCGTGACCCAGGACACAGAAGCCGTGGCACACAATGAACGATGGAGGGTCGCCACTGGACACCAAACATGAAGCACCCCCGTCCAAAACAACCGAACATCAACAACCCAAGGACCCCCCGGGAAAGCAGTCGTCTCATTCTCCGTCAAAAAAGAAGGAGACTGGCGCAACGAACAACCCCATCATCATGACTGATGGAGCAGAAAACTCCTGTGCCGGAGGAGAGCAGGAAGCTCACTAACCAGACCTCCAGAGGGCCAAGGCCAACAGAAAAAGAGCCTAGGAGAAACAAACCGGAACCGAAGGGGCCACAACTAACCGAGGAGAAGATAAGAGCACTCTGTCCAATGACCAGGACCGCTCAGGCGGTGCATGAGCAGGCCGGAGGTGAAACAACGCCCGCGGCAGCCTGCTAAACACAGCAGAAGTAACCTCAATACTGAAAGCAAGCTGAAGCGGCTCCACCAGCGCTGCACGATACGAGGCGACAGTATGTGGCAAAATGATGACCCTGAACCCCCAAAAGAGAAGGACAAGACCACGCCAACAAAACACAGAACTGAAGAAGGGGCAGAAGGAAAAAGGAAGGACCGCCAAAAACCCCCACACTGCCGCCAAGAAGAAGAACGCTGGTGGGACACCATCAATGAAGCCACCTGACCAACAGAAAGTGAGAGACCTGAGGCATAGCCGAACCAGCCCCGCCATGGACCAACCGAGCCGAGAAGAGTCGGAGCCGCGGGAAGATCTTGGGTGTGACGACCGAGCAGGAAGATCCAGAAAACCGAGCCGGCAAAGGAGGTGGAACGTCTGCCAGACAAAAACGTCCCAACACCAGCGAGCTCGCCAGGAGGTCTGAGACCACGGCCCCGACTGAGTCTAGGAGAGGGATCCCACGAGACGCAGAAAAGCCAACAGGCAGGGGAAAGCCAGGAACCAGAAAACCAAACCTGGCAATCGGAGCGAAAAGGCACAGCAACAACTGCCGATGCAACCATGGACATCCTCAAGAGAAAACTAGAAAGTCATCTCCAATGAGTGCCGGACCAACCGGGCTGTGTTGGGTACGCGGGCCCATGGGCCGCTCCAAACAACAGCCCGGTGGACCAACTCCCACAAGCCAAGCCCGACCACGGGCCAGGCTTGGGGAGAAGAACTCCCAAAACCCCATCAAGCAGGCATCAAGCAGACGACGGGAAGGAAGCTGCATGAAACTAGGAGACAGAAGAACTAGAGGGGACAACACCACCACAAGCAAGACTCCTCAGATGAAG